AAATAAGATGATCAAAACATAATAAGTGTGAAAATAGCAAAGATGACAAAAGTAAGTTCTTACGTAGTTTAATAATAATTAGCACTCCAGTGATTTATTACTTGTGTAAACCTGCAAAAATAAATTCATATATGTTTCTAGAGTAACGAAAGAAAAATATCAAAAGAAACGGACGAGCTTTCTTGTTTCTGTGAGAGATAATCAACAAAAAGTTTGGAAACGCTTAGATCATGTGATAACAGGGCTTAGCGTAGCACATCTAACATATCTGGCTCAGTGTGTTATAATTATGTTAAGAACCAACTCCTTTTAGAAAAAGTTATTGATGATAGAAATGAGCAAAAAACCTTTTGGATGTACATTCTGAATGAGTCATCATCTGAAAATAACGTTGTACACGTTATACTTAAACTCTGAACTGGAAATGCTTGTGGTTTAAATGGATAGGAAATGACTATTCCAAGTGCACTATTCCGCTTTGTACACCATTGTTAATAATTCATTTTAACAACGTTTTTAATACTGGTATTTTTTAATAGTTCACGATGAGAAGATATACATGTCCACTACATAAAAGTTGTTCTTTAAATAATCGTAATCAATTTAAAGATGTGCATTTTATTAATGTTATGTTTAAGATCTTTCCCTCTGTTTTTAACTGGTTTTTATACGAATGGACACAATGGAATTGCATTCCCGAAGAAGCACAATATTGGATTCGTGGGGATATTTCATTAGTGATAACATATTCACTCTTCAAAGTGTCAACGAAAAATATGTTTTAAAAACGGAGCAAGTTGTACTGTTTGCACATATTTTTCTTCTAAAGAGTTGAACAAGATCGAACATGGTAAATTGTGGAAGTGTCTTGAACGTTTTTATAATACTACTGGAATGTTTGTTAACCTAGCAATGGAGCACCTTCAAGAAATGAGGCAAAGGGTTGAGGTTTTTTAATGTGGAACAAATTTATCCAGTTTCATTTTACAAATATACGAGTCTTGTGTTTAAAACAAAATTGTCGTGGGCGAAGGCTAAAGAAACATTAGTAGCACAGAGTTTAAAATCTGTCATGGTTAATTGTTATACCATAGAGAATTCGGTTATTTTTGTTGTATAGATACCATGAAAGAATTTAATATTACAGTTTTGAAGCTCAGGGACCCACGTATTCAGAAGGTAATGGGAGTGTTCAAAGCTCTTTCGGTAAACAATATATATGTATCCCTTAATATGAATTATTATGTTGCCTATGGCACGCTAACGTTGTATGTTACGTATAACTCTGGGTGTCTTAAATATTGTTTTAAATTAGTGTTACCTATGGATGGAAACAGATACCAAGCAGAATATTAGAGAATGCTTAAATTATATGAGGCATTAACATTTTTAGCTATGGATTTGGCTTTTTATGGATATCGAAGAATGTTAGAAATGTTAGTATATTTGTAGCAGTATTCTCTGAAGGAGAGAATGTTTTTCCTAGTCAAAACAAAGCTGAAGTTGAGGTGAGGGTGGTTTCAAATCAGGAAATGGTTAGGCATTATCACTTGTCCATTCGAAGTTTGAAGCTATGTGACCAAAGTGCATATTTTTTGGGAAAAGCCTGGGTTAACCACCCCGCTAAGTGGCCTAATCCATTTCTCCATCCAGGTTAAAACAACAATTAACAAATAAAGCCCAAACGAAACAATGAAAGAGTGGCGAAAGCATTTTATGGAATGGGAAACATTTTTCTTTTCTTCTATTTAACACAATTACATTACTGTATACAACAAAAAGAGCAAAGAGCGTAATTGTTGGAAGTTTTTGAATGACTAGATTAACACTTTAATTTAGTACTTTAATCATTTAAATGCACAATATGAAAATAATTAGAACAAAATAAGCCTCTGAATAAATGAGAATAATCTATCTCTACAAGACAGAGATAGCGTTGAAAGTGTGAACAGTGAAGTAAAACATACAGAAAACATAGAAAGTTACGAAGTTAAATGATATCTTTTTGATAAGCGAACCAGTCCAAGGAAAAATTAGATTATATGTCTTTTCCTTCCACAATGAATGATTCTCGACCAGTCTTGCGTGGAGTAGAGATAGATAAAGATCAAAACAAGAACAAAGCCACAAAAGACTTGTACCAGCTGAGATTATTAAATGTATTATGGACTGATAATAGGGCTATGATACAAAACAGTTTCCTTTGAGCAAGGACGATATCGTGGTAAGACGTAGACTTATAAAAATAAATTGAGGCTGTGCTTTATCTACGTCATTCTTCAAACAGTATGGGTCTCGCCATATTTGTTAAGAAGAAAGGCTATATGCAAGATGTTTGGTGTTTTCGGCTTTGCATGTAGCAACATTCTTTGTATGTTTCTGTAGACGAAGTGACGTAAACTATGTTTTGTCCACTATCATAGCAAGAAGCTCCTACCCCCATTACCGATATACTTAATTCAAGGACCACCTCCCAACACAATTTCGCTTGTTTGATGGGAATTGGCCCCATTCCTGACACGCCCCCTCATCCGTACTCCTTTTGCGGAGGTTTATAGGCCGTTGTTACGCCACTATATATGTTTATTCTTCTTTAAACATATAGTAGTAAATGTTGTACGTTTGATGGAAACAAATCATATGATAATCGTCTGTTTGATGACGTTCAGCTCTACTTACGCTTTAACTGGTTGTCTCGGAGAGAGAGAGAGAGAGAGAGAGAGAGAGAGAGAGAGAGAGAGAGAGAGAGAGAGAGAGAGAGAGAGAGAGAGAGAGAGAGAGAGAGAGAGAGAGAGAGAGAGAGAGAGATGCTCGATTGGAAGAAAGCGAATGATGGTGATTAAAAAGGTCTCAGAATCTATATTTTTTTGTCTCCATGATTTTTAAGGCAACTTTGTCATTTGTTTATCGAAAATCTCCAAAATTGCGTCCATTATTTCATTGGTCATCTCGCATATATCTTTCTGCAGCGTTAAAAAGAGGGTGACCTTGAGCCCATGGATACGATTTGTGGTTGTCTATGATAGGCAAAACTGTTTCGGAGATAAGAATAAGGAAAGTGGGTTTTGATAAATAATTAACTGGAGAAAACTGTGTGAATGAGTGAATGATACAGATTTATGACTGACAATAATTATATTTGCAGTGATCGTAGACAAATTTGCTTCGCCATAGCGCTGTCAACAAAGACAGATAATCTGAAAACAACGATTACTCTGAAAGTATGGACGCATGTTGTTGACAGAAATCAATTCGCTCGGTGCACGCCCAGAATAGTGCGGTTGAAATAATAAATATTTTAGGATGTCGGTCTAATTCGCATTTTGAATGATTGCATTGAGGGCAAGAAGATTTTGTTTTTGAGGTATCATTTCCACTCTTCTAAATCTGGAATGCGAGTTTATAAGGTTCCTTTATTAATTATGAGTCAGTCATATATACAGTTTCACACACTATGCGTTTGTAACATTTAATAGTTCGCCAGTTTTGTAAGAATTATGATTACGTCAAACATTTGTTGTACGCAGTAAATAACCATTCGCTGTATGTAGGATGCAACACACTCTTACGCAATTTGATTAACGGCCCTAGACACCTTTGCTTTCAGAGTTTTTACACTTTCCTGAAATATATTATTTATCAGCATTTTTTGTTTGCTTGGCTCTTTCCTTACGGCTTTCCTTATAAATTGTATTACCTTAACCTCTAGCTCTGACATAAGCCGCACGGTTATCATGTGCTACTATTTCGTGACGTATGATCTGTATCATACGGATGCTTATCATACATGTTTTAATGAGCTGTTTGCTGATGACATATTGCTTTATTTCAGCTGAAACGGTGTTTTAAAGTACATTATTATTGCACAATCTTTTGTGCACAACTGTATTTTAATGACCTTATTAAAGAAATACTTGACATTATAGAGTTGACATCGAATTATTCATCAATAATTTGGAATGAAAGTATGCCTAAATCTCGAATCGTTATTACAAAGACAAATACAGTAAATTTTAGTAAGTTAGTATTTCCGACTTATGGCTCTTTGTCTACTTTCATGCAACCTCTGGTATACGTTGCTGTGCCTTGTCGTGTTTATTTCGATTGATATATCTGGTTTTAAGTCGCAAAGCACATATATGTCTTGATACAGGTTCGTCCCAATCAAAAATGATCTTTGGCAGACACAATTTTATTGCTAAATGTACGAACAAAATCTCTGATTAAACATATAGATTCAGTAGAAAATGTGAAACTTTACTCCAATTAAAAAGGCGGACATTGATTCTATCCTTGCCATATTACGAAATTGGCAAGTGGTTGTGTATGCTGCAGTTGGAAAGATTAAGCTAAGAGAATGAACGAACAAATGCAGCCGTGGTAATTGTGAGTGAGATCATCTGTTTTAATACTGATGGAATTATGTTACCGTTGTTCAAATTACTTGGATTCACCCATGTTATTAAATAAATGCCATCGCATCTGCATAGTTCTGCATTGGTCTACACATATCTAATGCTTCAGTATTTTTAAATATAAATGATTGCGTCTAAAAGGAAAGCAGTGTGTAAACACGAATACGCTCCTATTCCATGCCTGTCAGAACTACGCACCAAATATATAGAACGACGCACAGCTTACAGATTCTAATGACAACGTGTCTCATACCGGTTACATTTCAACGACTCTGGTGTACATGTCTGTACATATTTAAATAATACAGTTGTTACATGCGCACTAAAGCTGTGCACCCTTTTTCAAAGGATGTGATTATTATGATTTTTAACGTAGCTTTAACAATTTTTTAATCTTATCGCTACGATGCCTGCAGTGTGGTTGTTTATGGTGATGTGTAGCCCGCATCATGCTGCAAACATTTAGCATGATGTCCCACCCAGTCACAATATCTTGACACCAGGCCGACCAGTCATAACATTAACCTCTTAATGCTAAGCGTCAATAGAGGCAGCTGTTAGTACAATTTTTGAAAAAATTTGGTATGACTCGAACGGGGATCGAACCCACAACGTCTCGCATCTGAGGCGGATGCTCTAACCACTAGGCTACCAGAGCGGTTAATTTTTCAAAGGGACGATTCCATATTTTGTTGACTTAAATATTAATATCTTTGAAAAATAATCTAATAAACCTTAAGATTAGTGTACGCCTATAGTTTTACGAGTTGAAAGCAGTGACTGCAAAGTTTGACTGGTGGCCAAGGGATACCCTGTGAAATCGCGCTTATACCAGATCAAGGGTCTTGATCCAGTACCCCACTCCCACCCCCACTTCCACCCCCACCCACCCCACCCCAACCCCCATTCTAAGGACACACCCACATTCAGGAAATATATCTGTATGCCGGCTGGCCAGCCCATCGACTCCTGGCATAAAGTTTTTTGTTTTTCACATTTTACAAGTTAAATGCCAATTAAAAAGTGTTTGGGGTTTATTTAGTTTTCCACCATTTTATTTTGGAGGTGACGAATTCCATATAATATATATTCTAGTTTCGATCGAGGATGTAAGGTTAGATTGCCAGGAAAATCGGTAATGAAACAAATGTTTTCTATCAATCATCTGCGCTTGTGTCAATTTCATTTCAAGAACCTGATTTTATTTAATTTGAGAACGTCTGCATTCCATTATATCAGCTGGGAATACCTTTTCATCTGAATCGCAATGATTATTGCACATTAATGATTCTGGTCGACTGATGTACTCCATCATTGCGGCATTTATCATGATTTGACGAGAATCAGTTCCAGAGTCTCTCTCTCTCTCTCTCTCTCTCTCTCTCTCTCTCTCTCTCTCTCTCTCTCTCTCTCTCTCTCTCTCTCTCTCTCTCTCTCTCTCTCTCTCTCTCTCTCTCTCTCTCTCTGTGCAATGAATTACTGTTAATATTCGATTTACACAACAACAGCATTCTGGTATCTAGCTATGTAACACGGTAAAACGTGAAGAAAAAAACAGACCATATAAGGTTAATCTTTGCGTGTGTACACTTAACTTTTTAGTAGATCCATTAACTTTTAAATTCTATGATTTTAATGTGCACACATTTCAGTTTCACAAAGTACTTATCCTTTCCAAAATTAAAATGAATATATCATCATCATCATCATCATCATCATCATCATCATCATCATCATCATCATCATCATCATCATCATCATCATCATCATCTCGGTCAAAACGAGGCTGCTTGTCTTTTCTTCATGGAGTTTTTGTTGGCCAGCTCTGTCTTTTTATTTACCACGTGTGTCTTAACTATTTGTATAAGTGTAGTCCTTAAAGCTGGTAAAACTCATGATTATCGCTAGTTTCCTATACTGTCTGCAAACTCTACACAGATATCGGTCTATGTTTCTTGTGTTATCTGCAGACTCTTCTATACAGGTGTATTTCCATGTTTCTTAGGTCGTTTGCAAACACTATGTGGATACTGTTCAATGTTTCTTACTTCGTCTGCAAACTCTATTGGATTAAGTTCTGTTTCTTCTTTAACTTTTTGATGAAGTTCTTTTCAATGATTTATAATTTTGGTTTAGATGAGTAAATATTTCATTCCTAACGGTCATTTACAGTAATGACAAACTATTGAATATTGCGATACGGTTGTTATGTTGTTGTCGTTATAGGGTTTAACGCCATTGTTCAGCGCAAGATAGGCTAAGGCTATACCTGGCGGCCAGTATGAATCGTGGAGGAAGAACCCGGAAAAACTCCGGAAAGAACCACCGACCCACTAGAAGCTACCGGCAAGCTTTTTCACATACTCATTCTGGTCGTGTCCGAGATTCTAACCCATGCATACAGGGGTGAGACGGCAGTGATCCGTAGGAGCTCTTTAGACCATTCGGCCACTCTGAGCCCCTGTGATACGGTAGTATCACATGTAATGATGTCAGCGGCACTGATCTCAGTAGTAGTAACTATTTTGTTATATTTATGGTTGTAGTGATGTTAAGCATCGCAGGAGATTTAGAAAATCAGTCATGTGGTTTATACACATTTTGCTTCAACTGACTCTGTATTTTCCAAACAACACGTAGTCGTTATTTATTCAGTAAGTTTTAGTTCAGTCAGTTCACAGCACACGTACTAAAGTAAAAATATATTATTAATCAACATGTCATGGAGATATAGGGTTAAAAACCATTATATTCTTACCAGTTGTGTCAATTGGTACAGGAAATTGTTTTTGAACCCTATATTGCAAGAAATATCATATGACGTATGCATCTTGCCAGTTGTTTGCTTTGGCGTTCAGACGATAATGTGTAAAATATCTGTCTGTTTTGTCAGTCCACCCATCCATATCTATTTCTGAGACAATTTATTTTCTGTGGGGGAAATATGTCAATTTTTGTTTAATGTCGTCTTTGAACGAATGGATCTGTTGCCAACAAACATTTCACAACAAAAGGATATATAAAAGATACTGTGGTATTTCACAACAAAATGATATGTACAAGATACTGTATTATTTCACATCAAAAGGATAGTTTAAAGATACTCGGATAAATTTTAAGCACGATACATAATTGTTTTGTAAATATACTGCAAGTATCAACAAGACATATATAACTTGAAAACAGACTATTTTATTAAAGCAAATTTTTCCTTTCTTTCCTCCATATTTGTTTCTTGCATAGCTTTGTGACGTGTAGATTGTCTCACAAGAAGCCAGACGATGGAACATCAGGAGACATAATACAAGCAGTCAGATCTATAATCTATTTAATGTGTATGCAATTCAGAGACTATTAATGTCTAACCCAAGCCAATCCCCATCTCCAATCCCACCTCCCAAAAAAACTTTTATTTGTTCACCGAAGGTACTTTAAAGTTGAATGCGATGGAAGCTGGTTGTCATAAAGGATTTGCCAGGATGATAAGATTTTTTTTTTAATTAGGTATGACACGAGAGATTATTTTTATTATGACACGTAGAGTTCTGATGGTTCCTTTGTTTAAACGAAATGTGCCATTTTGTCTTAATGGATCTGAATGAAAATCAAAAGCAAAATACAGGTTATATGATCTACGATCTAATTAAGGTTGTTTTTGTAGTTATGACAATTTACATAGCGACTACAGGTTTTTGTTTCTCGATGCATTTTGTTATAGCCGTAGCAAAAGAATATATTTTTCTTATTTTGGCATTAATTTATTTACTGTTCTATCGTAATAATATGTATCCATGGGAACAATAATACAGCAAGCAGCTGGAATTTTATTAATAGATATTGATCTGTCATCAAAGATAGATAGCTTGTTTGAAATATATAATACTAATGGTCAAAAAACGGAAAACTGTAAAACGTACAATATAGCTTGACAGCGTTGGCCATCGGTTGCTTATGACAAACGTTTCTGAGAAAACTTCATCTGTCTAACTGTCTGTCTATCTATCAGTTAAATACAGGGTTTGTTTGTTTATATTTTACATTCCCCTAAAACCTCCTTGTATTAGTCAATGCTGGCGATTTGTATGGCGTTGCAGATTCTGGGCAATTTGGCTTGATTCAATGGGGGTGGGGGTGATATCCGGCAAAATCAGTAGGTTATTTTACGCCAAGGCTTTTGCGATGAAGTGCGCTGTACATGGACATGCCACGGCAGCCGACTAGGGTTGAGACTATAGAATGATTTGAATCCGCACCATTTTTATTCGCGAATCCTTTCTTGCTAACTGCTAAGCCACCGTTGCTCTACATCTTTAAGTCGGTTCTAGCCTGATACCATGGCTTCCCATGATGCTCCGCACACTTTTGAGCGGAGCATTATGGGAAACCAGGGTACCAAGTTAAAGTCCTTTCTTACGACATGCAGGAGAAAGATTTGGAATTCAGTAGGAGATAAATCTAAAGGCAGATGTACAGGTCAGAGTTTGAAAAAAAGGCTCCGTTGTCACAGGGTTGAACAGAAAAGGGACAAAGTTAAAAATTCAAATACTAGAATTTTGCTTCTATTTACAATCTATAAATGACTAAGAAGATGTTTGCCTTCGACCGATTTTCATTATATATTTCAGCTTGAAGTTAAAATTTCGGCTCAATTATTGCAGATTGATTATTTGTAAACCGAAACAGGAAAATTCCATTAAACCTTTTTTTCTTTTTTTAGCAATCTAGCCATTTTGTGGCTTAATGTTGAGAAACTGACCAAAAGTTTACAAAGGAAAAAAAATTCTGAGAAATGTGCAAACTCAAATTGAAAACGAAACCAAGACCAATAAGCTCACAATTTATATCACAAACTTTACAATTGCGCCATACTTGCTTGCTCAGGGACATCTTTCAATCGTTTGTAGACGTTGCCCATGGTAACTGAGAACGCGTACTTCTTTCGTCGTATAAAAGTAATAATATCTATGAATTCATGTGCTGCGCATCCAGATGTTAAGGTAAGAATTGTCAAAATAAACACCTATCAGTGAAAAATTAGAGGTGGGTGTCTGATATAATACTTTACATTTAGTGAAAAATTTAATAGATTAAATTAATATTCATTTTGTAATTAAAGAATATTAAATGAATATCAACTGCAGTGATTGAACCATGATGATGATGATGTTAATGACGATGTCGCTGATGGTGATAATGATATTAATATTATACTGATAGTAATATTTTCACTTGATGCACTTGATGTAGCAAAATACGTTACTTTCAGAAAGTATTTTGCAAAACGTTAATGTTGACGCTGGCAGCAAAGTTACTCTTGTAAACCATGCTTACGAAGCGTTCGAAACATCATCGTCTCTTTTCGATGCGAGTCGAATAACTTCGATTGTCCGGAAGTGACTTGGAGGCAATCTTTGTGATACTTCCTAAATTGGGAATTTTGGAACACCAGGCAGGATTACAACGAAATTAGTCATATAACATGACATGCTTTGAAAATAACACTTCACGACGTTCTAACAATCATTGAAATACCTGAACATTTAATTTTTTATATTATTTCTGCAATCTTGTAATGAAAAGAAAAACACGAAGAAATCATTCGCTGTCTATTGTCTGCAACTAATGCTTGCATTACTTATTCATCGATAACGTTGCGAAG